GGCCCTGAGGAGATGCAGCTTTGGTGAGTTATCACCCAGCCTTGGAGGGCTTCTTGGTAATGGAGGCTGCCTTGAAATCAGCAGAAAACTCATTGGTTCACCAAGCTGGAAATCAGTGACTTGTCTCTGCTCTGTTGTTGGTACCCATTAGGATTATGTAGATATTTCTCCTGTCTCTCCTGGAAAAGTCCTATAACACCTTCCTTCTTTCTTTTTTGTGTTTGTTCTCTTGAGATAGGGTTTTGTTGATGTTGGGTTGATCTGAACTCACTATGCATCCCAGACTAGCCTTGGACCCTGCTTCCACCTCCTCAGTGCTACGGTTATAGGTATGTGTCGTGCATCCCGTCTCTCTATGCTGCACATTTTCAGCTAGATACCCTGTATGTTTTTAAATGCAGGATATCTGAGAGCCCTATCTGCACGAAGAAACAGAAGATGCAATCTAAATATCTTAGTGCTCAACTAGAGCTCCAGGGGAAAGCTGGAGTCCTTAGAGAGAGGAATCCATCAGTAGAATGCAGACACTGGTATTTAGCTAGAATCCTGGGCCCACTGTGCAGTGATAGTCTCTGAGACTGCTGTTGATCCAGGAAAGATGGTGGCTCTCAACAGACCCGGTCCTGAGCTTGTTCTGTCCATCCATACTTAGACTCTCCTCTTGAGCTCTTATCTGTGTAAATGCAAGTGCGTCGGAAAAGACTTCATCACAGCATTTGATAATTTGTTGACCCTAATATCCATCACTCTCCTCCCATTATCAACACAGCCTTCCTCTGTCTTACCTGAACATGGATGACATAAGACATTTAGCCTTCCTGCAACAGGGAGAGCCAAGCAACTTGCTGGGCACCTCCTGGTTGTTTTATGTGACTTGATTATGATTAACTGTCTCACAGGGCTTCTCTTCAGTGCCTTTTGCCCTGCTGACTGGAACATGTGTAGGCAGTCTGGAACTCTGTGAAGACCTCACTGAGATCCAGGCATCCTCATCGTCAGCAAGGGCATAAGCTTCGACCCTAGGTTGTCTAGAGGTCAAGTCTGATTTTGTCAGTTTTCTTCTGGCCTCCACGGGCACATGGGTATAGGTACTCATGTGTAAACGTGCGCGCGCACACACGCACGCGCGCGCACACACACACACACAATTAAGAATAACAAATTTTCAAATGCATATTCAATGTGCGTTTTGTTCTAGTATGTAAGTAAAAAAAACATTCTTTTCTATAAAGATAGGCAGGAAAATTACATATGCCAATATACTGCTTGAACAAATTTTCAGGTTATTATTGATTGTTAAGTAATAATGTGGGCTTTTACATAAATCCTAACCAAGTGGAGTATTCTTAATATTTGAAAGGACATTTGTCATAACGTGACAAGCAGCTGTTATGATTATACCCATCTCTTTGCTATTTCTTCATTTACAAAGTGGTCAAGTAGAATTCAAGTTTGTAAAGAGTTCCTTACCTTCAGGATACATGCAGGCTGCCTGTTGAGTCAGAAAATGAAAAACAGCAAAACTGAGGGATGCAGCCACTCGGGAACATATGCATTGGAATACCATACTTGCAGAATTATACACATAGAGCACAGTGTATATACTATATGATATATATATGTATATATATATTTCATATCTGTTGTATACATGATATACATACATATGGCATACATGACATACACATGGGGGGACATACATGGTACATACATGTTATATACACCACACATGTTAGACATACAACCTATTATTCAAATGTACATAGATATTACTTATGGCGTGTATTTGGTATACAGACGATACATCATACAGTGCATGCTTGGTGCATAATGTTATTCACACAACACACATGGTACTCATATGTACACAAAGTGGTACATACATTGTATACACATGTGTACAGAGAACACAGATGGCACACATGGCACATATACAGTATACATGTGGTATGCTCCTGGGACACAGGAGGGATGCATGTGAGTAGTGGGTGGCATGAATTCTAGGGCTTGGGGCTTGAGACAAATCAAGTGAGAGATGAAGAAAGCCTGTCATATTTCTAGAAGCTTTGAACTGATTCTAAAAGCCTTGTTCTACCTCCCTCTCTTCTCTCATCATCTTCCAGCTTCTCTTCATCTTTTCCCTCCTTTTCTTCTTTATCTCTCTTTTAAAATAAGTAAGAAGTCAGAGCACTGGATACCTCTGCATTTGATGGGGCAAGAGTACCCATTTTTCCAGGCAGAGAACCCAAGGGAAAGATGAGATTTCCTTCACATGGCCATAACCTGGCCACTCTCTCCCACTGTGGCTTCTCCTGATAAGATGGGACTTGGGAAAGTTCTGTCTATGGACTGGACACTCAGGATGGGTGTGATGGAACTCAGAAGCCCTTGTGAATGTTGGGAAGTATTCAGTTATGTTTATCCTCTCTTCCCATTAATGTGGTTCAGAAAGATTGGCTCTTTAGAAAATGACTTTGCAGTCAGCCAATGTGTCTTTCTATAACAGGCAGCTCTCTAGATACCCTGTATGCACACACACATCCTGTTATGTGTGTACACACCTTGCAGGCATGTGTATACATGTGGCAACTTAAATGAGCCTGATCATTTTGTCCTGACCTTGTGTGTATGTCTTCCAAATCAGTTTAGGCTCCAGGCCGTTCTCGCTCTTTAATATTAATTTTCATAATGGCTCAAAGAGCAACATTGTTTCCTAATGGTTTCTCCTTGTACTGTAGACAATGAAGGCTCTGAACACCCTATCCTTTGACTTGCATTTACTTGTCTTTCAATATCCTCCACTGATGTGGTTCAGATACTCTGTGTGCTGGCCACTCAGGGCTTTGATGTCTATTCTTTCTTTTCCTTTACTTATTTATCTTGATTGTCCTTATTCTAGAAGGAGCACACCTCCATTCCTGGTAATATAGCAGTCTGGGAGCCACAGAGCCTCCCCTTCTCCCAGCAAATGCGTGGTAATGTTTACATAAGCCTTTTAAAAATATGGTTTAAAGAAGTACACGGATTATCTAGCAGAAGAAGGGACTGTTTAGGGAGAGAGAAGGTGAAAAGCCCCCAGGCAGTCACTCACAGGTTCCAGAACCTTCCTTGGGGATACAGACCAGTCTTCATTTTCTCTCTCTTGTGTTTTTAAAAATACTACATGTTATAATATTACATGTTATAAAATATTAAAATTCACACATATTCTTTGTACGGAGTGAGGCTGGAATGGAGTTTTAGAGCCATCCACAGTACCAGAATACAATCTTGGGGTCTCACAGGCTGCAAGTGTTTCTAGAGGGTAGAGTCTGGGCTAGGTGTTCCCAAGTCCTTGGCTGTTATTAGTTACTCTCTATTACTGTGATAAAACACTAAGACCAAAGTAACTTATAAAAGAAAGCGTTTAATTGGGCTTACCATTCCAGAAATTAGAGTCCATGACCAAGAAACAAAGATACAGCGATGGGAACAGCCCAGAGCTCACACCTCAAACTGCAAACAGGAGGCAGAGAGCACACTGGGAATGGTTCAAGTCTTCTGAAGCGCCAAAGTCCACTCCAGCGACACACCTACTCCAACAGAGTCACACCTCCTAATCCTTCCCAAACAGTTTCATGGACTGTGGACAAAGTATTCAAACATATGAGCTTTTGGGGGGGCCCACTCTGATTCAAACCACCACATCGGCCTCTTACTCAAAGAACTGAGCACAGGTTCTCATTATGTGCAATGCAGCAAGCAAATTATTCAGAAGTAAGGCAAACAGAACAGATTAGAAGGACATGCACTCAGGCAGCAGAACACAGGATGAGGAGCTCAAGGCCCCTTATGTTATTTGGAGTTTTCTTCTATGGGTTCAAGAGAAGGAAGTGTTTGCTACTAAGGGGGAGGTTTGGGCTATAGTTTGATTGATAGGTTAAGCTGTGTGTTTTAGAAGTTTTTTGCTGTGAAGAGACACCATGAACATGGAAACTCTTATAAAGGAAAGCATTTAATCGGGGCTGACTTACTGTTCAGAGGTTTAGTCCAATATCATCATGGCTGAAAGCATGGCGGCATGCAGGCAGACATGGTGCTGGAGACGTAGCCGAGAGTTTTATTTCTGGATACTTGGGCAACAGGAAGAGAATGCTACACTAGGCATGGCTTGAGCATCTAAGGTCTCAAAGCTCACCCCCAGTGACATGCTTCTTCCAGTGCTATACCTACTCCAACAAGGCCACACCTCCTAATTGTTCAACTCACACTGGGCCTATGGGAGCCATTTTTATTCAAACTACCACACTGCATATTTATTTTTCCAACTGTGAATGTCTTTTTTCATAAGGCATCTGAGTTTAATCATATGCGTGACTAAATATGTGTGACCCAGGGGTATCCCTTAAAGTTCTCTTGAAGAACAGTTTTGTCTTACTGCATATCCACTCCAAACCAGTTCAGACTGGATCATCGTTTTTATTCTCTATATCCTGATATATTATGAATACCTTTGAATTAAAAGTATCTAAACCTTGTTGTTGCTAGGGGCAGGGAAATCTATACTGGTGTTCAGGAGAGAGAGATGTGTGGATAGTTGATTTGAGTTGGGGTTCTGAAGTTGCAAGGTGATTTTTTTTTTTTTTTAGAGAGAGATATGTGTTTATAGTCAGGTGATAGAATTAATCTGTCAAGTGCATTATTACAAGCAAGGTCCGTACAACAAAAACCAAATGAGGTCCCAGGTTGCTAAACGGTCTCTCATCTTTCCCTGCCCTGGGAAGAACAATTGAGCCCCAGATCTAAAGCTCCTATGATGATCCTATGATGATACATTACCTTATTTGGGAACTCAGTGTGGGTGTATCATGCCAGCCTTACTCTGCACAGAAAGGGGAAGGGACCAAGAGCTATGTTTGAGGCTCCTGATACAAACTCTCTGTGGGTTTGGGGCTTGTCTTTATAGGCTTGGCTGCAAAATCTTAAGGGAAACAAAAAGATTAAAGTTTCTGGTATTCCAGGTGCCTAGCAACAAATGAAGTCTCTTCAGAAGAATGGATTTCAACTCAAGCCTTGAAGAATTCCAGCCCCCAGATCTACCTGCAGCAGAGAAATAGATCAGGGAGCAGAACAGAGCTGGGAAGGGAGGCATGCCAAAGAGAAATCAGCTCAGCAGCCCAGATACACTCAGCCACAAGGGCCAGGGATATCACATGGTAAGTAAAGTATTCACCATGCAAATATGAGGTTCTGAGTGTTTAGTCCCAGACGCCTCACAAAAAAAGGCATGCATGGTGGCAAGCACATGTGATTCCTGTGTGGGGAAGGAGGAGACAAGTGGACCTCTGGGGCCAGCTGGCCTAGCTTGATAGGTGAGTCCCAGGCCAGTCAGGGACACTGTCTCACAAAACCCAGTGTGGATAGCCATGCAGGGATGACATTTGAGATTGTCCTCTGACCTCCACACACATGTGCACATGCATGTGCCCATACACATGCATGGAACTGCACACACACAAACATGTACACCAAACACACAAAGTCACAAAGAGAGACCATAAAATCCAGCCAGGAAGGGAAGAATCAGATTCAGATGGACACATCAACTGCACTCATGAAGATTTGAAAAGTAAAGAGGAGTGGGGGAGGGGCAAAGAGACTAAACACACAACTCGTGCAAAGGAGCATGAGTTTTGTTTAATACAAGCCAGCAGAAGTGGATAAAGAAACCACATCGGAAGCTGAATCTGCAATCTGAGCCCATGGGTGTGGAGGGCAGATAATGCAGCTTGAGATCCTTAAGATCTTTGTGCCATCTGGGAGCATGGAGAAGATGCTGATGGACTGTGGAACGCAGACAACTCACTAAAAGAAGAGTCATGAGTCCTGTGAACATCAAATCAGTCAAGGGAGGGGGAAGGTGGGATGAGCGGCTGCGGTGGCGTCTCTCCAAAGGGAGAGAAGAAAGAGTAGAGGAGGATAAAGGAAACAAGCAGAATGTATAACATAAGATGGCCAAATCGAAAGCATCTACATGTGTGTGGGAAGATCACCATTCACTGGAAGCAAGAGAGAAAGTACTTTGGGATATGATGGTTTGAATGGGAAATGTCCCCCATAGGCTCCCGTGTTTGAATGCATAGTCTGCAGTTGATGACACTGTTTGGGGAGGCTGTGAAATCTTTAGGAAATACAGTCTTGAAGGAGGACACACACTGGGGACAGGTTTTGAGACTGTACAGTCTCACCTTACTTCCAGTTCTCTCCGTCTGCTTTCTGCATGCGGATGGAGATGTGATCTTTCAGCCTCCAGCCCTTACCTCTTACTGCCTTACTCCCCTGCTTTTATTGATCCTCTCTCTGAAAACGTAAGCCCAAAATAAACTATTCCTCCCATAAGTTGTATTGGGTCATGTTGTTTTTGTTACAGCAACAGAGAGTTGAAGAAAAAAATAGTACCTCACTTGGCAGAGTGACTGACTCGGCTGCACAAGACCCTGGGTTCCGCAGGCAGCACCAGCTGAAACTGAGTGTCTAGAATCCCAGAGCTTGGGAAAAGAAGCAGGTTGGGCAGAAATTCAAGGTCATGTTCAGTTGTATAGTGAGGTAGGGGCTTCCCTGGGCTACACTGTCTAAATATTTGTTTTAAGGAGATACAAAGTAATGGGTGGGAGTTAGGAGCGAGGCTCATTGTGCCTATACAATGTAACCTCTAACATTCAGAGTCCAGTGAATGAGTTAGTGAAATTGATGAATTATGAAATAAAAAAAATAATTTTCTCAGTCAATCGACTCTCTAGATTGTAGCTCACACATTTAAAATTGCAACATTGGGGCTGGAGAGATGGCTCAATGGTTAAGAGCACTGACTGCACTTCCAGAGGTCCTGAGTTCAAATCCCAGCAACCACATGGTGGCTCACAACCATCTGTAATGAGATCTGATGCCCTCTTCTGTTGTGTCTGAAGACAGCTACAGTGTATTAATATATAATAAATAAATAAATAAATCTTTAAAAATAAAATAAAATCGCGACATTTACAAAAGACCATTGTTAATAGCATAAATTTGAATAATAATGAAACTAAGGACCAGTTAAACAGATCTGGGCGGGGTACTTATGTAGAAGACTTTGGTAAGGCATTATGCTTCCAATCATTCCAAACACAAAGGTGGTCAAACATGCCAAATGCATAGTTACATTCAGTCTATCTACATGCTCTAGTAAATCAATATTTATAACACTGTCATGATTCATACATAATAACATACTGTGTTTCAGAGTTATGTAAGTCATAATGGAGTACACGTCATAATTCTTAATACTCTGAAATTCTGAAGCTTTACTGCAAGATTTGAAGAAAAACTACATATTGACCTTTGTTGAGAGAAACGCTTAGGATGGTGGAAATATTATTTCTCCCCTGAATGGCACTATAGCTTATTTTTGGAGATTCCATTAACATACTGAGAGGGTCTTTGAATAAATTCTAGTCTTCTATGTAAGTGTAAATGTCCAGGACAGGAAACTCCTGGGTGTGGGAAAGGGACTCCCAATCTATTCCTTGAGGCTGGCTAAGGGATTCCAGTAAGGTGGAGGGGTGCAGCTAGTACAGAAACACACCAGGAAACTCAAAATAGAGACCCTGAAATTTACCGGGTCTATGGAAAGCTGCCTGTGAAGAGACGACCTTTGATCTCAGTTGGAAAAGTTGGTGCAGTGATTTCCCAAGGGAAGAGTAATGTCAGAATCAATTAAAGACTCACGTAAGAAGTCATATTTTAGTAATTTCAAAAGATCAAAGAATGCCATGCTGAAGATGCTAACGTGCCAACCTTAAAGGGTAAGTTTGAAAATTTCTAGATCATTAGAAGACACAATACAGTTTTAATCCAGAGAAGCATTGCCACCAAGTATGTTAGAAATTCTGTTAAAGCATTTTGAAAGGGGAAATGCTCTGTAGATAATAGATAAAAGGCACGAGAGACTGTTCACAGATTAAGAAGCCTGAAACACAGGACTTAGCTTCCTTATAAACTATTAAAATACAAATTATTTTGTATCCATGGCACATGCATATGCGTGTGTGTGCATGCATGAAAGTATGTGCATGTGCAGTGTATGCATATGTATGCAAGAGTATGTGCACCTGTGCAAATGCAAAAATGCAGGCCAGAGAAGAACAGTGGGTGTCTTCCTCTATTGCTTTGACACTGGTCTCTCACTGAACTGAAGCTTTCCCATTTGGCTAGGCTGACCAGCAAGTGTCCAGGATCTACTTATCTCTGACCGCAAAGCAGCCATGCCTAACTTTTAAGGGGAGCTGGGAATTTGATGTTTTCATAGCAAGTTCTTATTCTCTTGACTCACCAGCCCTGTGAACTACAAATTTAAATTTAACTCACTTCACTTTTTTTTGACCCATCTTTATTTTCTTTAGCTAAGATTTTATGTTACATTTGAAACCATTGAAATTCTTTTGTGTGTGTGTGTCTTTTTTTTTTAGTGTCTTTTTTTTAACCAATGAAATTCTAAGAAGTCCAGTGGTTTAGATGAGGTCTCTGAGTGCTGGTATTCATGAGGACAAAACAAGTATTGATGAGATTGTGGCCGTCTGGGCCTATGGTCCCTGGTGGGTAACCCCAAGGGGCTGTGAACAGAGGTGACTCATGCTGTGACAGTTTCTCATAGAGCCCTAAGGTTACTATGGGTCATTTTTTTTCTAGTATCTTCTCTCTCCCGACCCCCAACCCCCACTGTACCCTCAGGGTTGGGTATGTCATAGAGGAGAGTAAATGTTCAACTGCTTCAGGGTATCTACCAGCAGACCCTCCCACCCCAACCACCTTTGCTGAGAGAGATGTTGCAGCATTAGGAGAGCAGAGCAGGTGAGCCATGAAACCTAAGTGTGGGATCATCTGACTCCAGTCAAGAGCCCCAAGGTCAGAACACATCACTGGGGCTGGAGAGATGGGTTAGCGGTCAAGAGGACTTGCTACTCCTTTGGAGGACCCAAGTCCAGTTCCCAGCACCCACATCAGATGGCTCTTTCCATTTGTAAGTTAGTCTTGGGGGATCTGACTCTTCTGGCCACCATGAGCACCCGTACTTGAGTGGAGACCTCTGCGTGCATGCAAGTATGTACAAACAAAAATAACATAATTATTTTTTAAAATATGTTTCTACCAATGTCCCATGATGATGGCCCTCTGTCACATTTTAACAATCATAAACTTGAATCTCACCGTCCTCCACCCCTGCTGGGAAACCTCAAGAGTAACCAACTCTGTCTGGGTAGAAAAGTCAAGGCCAGGAGAGCTTGTCTCAGAAAACAAGAAGTTGGACCACCAAGCCTGGTGATCTGAATTTGATTCACAGGCCCCATAAGACAGAAGCAAAGAACCAACTCCTGCAAGATGCCCTCTGACCTCCAGATGCACATTGTGGCACACACACACACACACACACACACGCGCACACACACACACGTACATACAAGTGATCTTGAGAGACAAACCAAAACAAAGAGGATGGTGCCTGAGAAACAACAGCTGAGGTGGTTCCCTAGTGTCCCTATTTGTGTCACACACAATAACCCTTTCCGGTTCCACCTGGGAGGGTCTTAGGAGGGCATTTGCAGTCACCTCCCTGTGCCCTAGCTCACTGCCAGCTTTCCCCCCCCATCCTTCTGTTCCAGTTTTCTCCAGCCCTGCCTTGGGGTCTGGCCCTTAGGGTTCCTCTGTACCCACTGTGCATACCACAAGCCAGCAGGCCATTCCTTCTCAATGTCAATGGCTAACTCTCCAGCACTTCACTATCTCCCACAGGGCACGACTTCCTTCCTCCCCCTGCGGATTTCCTTCTCAGAGCTTTTGAGATGTGGCTGGCTTTTATTCTGCCTCAGGCTGGTTATTTTCTATCTCTGGCTGCCAGCAAGGTGCTGGGGTACCATTGAGTCAGCCCTGCCCACACCTGAGTGAGTTCACTGCAGGGAGTTGGTGTATTACGATGGTATTTACCTCCTGTTCTGAGCCCATCCCTGTAAGACTGTGATGTTAGAATTCAGTCGCTTCTCAGGCCATCGCCCTGGCCACTGCTTCTCCCCTCTCATAGAGACCAGCAGGCCTCCTTTGGAGTCACGGTGAAATCTCATGCTAACAGATGTGTAGGTACCTAGATTTCTTACCTAAGGAAGTGACTTTGCATCAGAGAGAATGTTGGTCTGGTTGTTACATATCCCGCTTTCCTCCCCCTTCCAGTCTCCTGCTTGGGAGTCAGAAGGCCTCGCTGAAGGTTTATGTTATGAAACCACTGCTGTGGTGGCTAATTATTTATTATTATTATTAATTATTATTATTTTTCAACTTGACACAAGCTGAAGTCATCTGAGAGGAGGGAACCTCAACTGAGAAAATAATCTTGTTTTATAGATAAGTCTATAGGGCACTTCCTGGTTTGTGTGTGAGCCCAGTCCACTGGTGGGTGATATATAAGAAAGCAAATCCAGCAAGCCAAGGGACTCCCTGGGCCAAGCATTTACAAACCATCACAGGGACACAGTCCATGGCAGGGACTGTAATGCTTTTCATCCCCCTTCTAGTTTCAGTTCTCTCTCTCTCTCTCTCTCTCTCTCTCTCTCTCTCTCTCTCTCTGTGTGTGTGTGTGCGCGTGTGCGCGTGTGTGTGCGTGTGTATGCTGAACATGAATAAAATGCTAACTGATGATAAAAGTATAAAACCCTAAGCGAAGCTCCATGGCTCTAGAAGGGTCGTTCTAACTGCATGGAGCGCACTGAGATAGGTGGGTTTGGGGCTGGACCTGGGCCAGAGTGGCTTCCTTAACCCATCTGTGATGGAAAATGTCTCTCATCTTACATCCAGGAGAATCGAGAGACGACAGGATGCCTGAGCACATCTGTTTGATTGTCACCCAGGCACGGGGTGACCGGAGCAGAAGCACTTTTATTGGAGATAATAAACCCAGTTCTTCAAGAGAAGATGAAGCAATTAATTATTCAAGGGCAGTGAGTTCTCCGGTCCTTCGTTTCCGCAGACCGCATTTCCCTCGGCTGTTTAAATAAGAAATCGACAGCACACTCGGCTGCCTGCGCTTCTGTAAGGAGCCAACTGTCATTCCATTCAAGATCTCTTGATTCAAGTATCTCTGATTCTAAAAGGATTGTCTTAGGCCCAGGGAAGAAACCTAGATGCCTGCTTTCTGATGCCAAAGGTGAGTGGGGCTGGCTGCAGTCAGTCCTGCAAGGTCTGGGGACAAACATTGGGACAGCCCTCAAGGTCCCAGCAAAGGGATATGTCTCCCTTTGTTTTTCTCTGAGCCACAGGGTCTGAGACCCTGAATACTCTATCCTGAGGGTAGAATTCTTTTTTTTTTTCTTCTGCTATTCTAGGAACCGAATCTTAAATCTCATGCATTAGGCAATTGCTCTGTCTTTGAACTGTATCTCCAGCCTCTGCCAGGACACGTTTGAGCTGGGGACACAGCTAGGGAAGTCCCTGAACTCTGTAGAACCCGCCGCCATGCTAAAAAGTGAGCAACTGTATCCAGCCCCTCCCCCAACACATCTTCCTTATTAAAAATGAAGCCCGAGCTTCATCCTTTATCTCCAAATATGTCAAGATGGCATATTAATTTCGGTAAGCGATGCTGAGTCATTTTGAAGGATTAAGAGCAGACAAATGTCAACTATCCAAGTGTCTGCGGTAAAAAGAATTGGATTAGATGTCACTTGATATTTTGGAAGAAAATTATTACTGCCCAGGAGAATTTTATGTATATTTAGCTTACTTTAAAATACCCAGCCTTTGCCAGTGTGGAGCTTTCCGGTAAGTGTGAACGGTCCCTCGGAAATCTTCTGGTGTCAAGGAAAGGGATGAGAGAAGGGACCAAGTGTCCCACTACTTCTTGTCTGATGAGCTGTAATCCATGTCAGCCATGGTTTCAGCCCTTCAAAATGCATTTGTAGATGGGCTGTGAACCACGTGTGTTTGCCCTGCTTTAAAATCCAATCTGATATGTGCATGTATGTATCCATATTTAATGGGGTGAAGTGGTATTTTTCCGAAGGGAGGAAATGAGGGAGATACAAGTGGAGGGGACATCCGCTCACACACTCTCCAAGCACACGTGCACACGCCTACCACACACACATAATGAGTATGGCATACACTACTTGTACTGGCTGGTTTTGTGTGTCAACTTGACACAAGCTGGAGTCATCACAGAGAAAGGAGCCTCCCTTGAGGAAATGCCTCCATGAGAGCCACCTGTAAGGCATTTTCTCAATGAGTCATCAAGGGTGGGGGAGGGCCCATTGTGGGTGCTGCCATCCCTGGGCTGGTAGTCCTGGGTTCTATAAAAAGCAAGCTGAGCAAGCCAGGGGAGCAAGCCAGTAAGCAGCACCCCTCCATGGCCTCTGCATCAGCTCCTGCTTCTGACCTGATTGAGTTCCTGTCCTGACTTCCTCCAATGATGGACTGTGATCTGGAAGTGTAAGCCTAATAAACCCTTTCCTCCCTTTTCTGACTTACTTTTTGGTCATGGTGTTTTGTTCCAGCCGTAAAACCCTGACTAAGACACCACTGTTGTGTAGCAAATTTCTCCAAATCGAAACATTCCATCCTAGAGGGAAGAGACTCATGAGACCCAGGAAGTAAAACGATTCTCAAACCTCAGCAAAGTCCTGAAACTAACAAGATCCACAGGGGGTGCTTCTGATGCTTTGATCGGAAATTTACATGTCTTTCATTCACAGATCCAAGGGAACCTGGGCAGGGGCTGGTAGCCTGGTCCACCTGGAGCTTAAAGCTGGGTAGTAGAAACTACATACTACAAGGCTCATCAAGATGTGCAATCAATAATAACTGCCAAGGAAAGTAAGAGATTCAACTCTTACCCTTCAAGGCAGCAGGAGCTCCAGGGTGCAGGCTGTGTGCATCATTATCCAGGCTAGGTATAGCTGCCTTTGACACATCATGTTTCTGTAAGTAGCCCTACGTATTGTATAAGTAACTTCTCCATGCTCTGCAAGTAGCCTCCATAAACTCATTGGTCTGCCAGGATGGACTTTGGTGGGATCATTACTTGAGCCTGTCATTGGTTTCTTAGCATAGATGCTTGTGCATGTCCCCCGGGGAAAGGTCACATGACAGCCAAACCCTACACACTACACATATGCACAATAAAGCACACATATTGTGCCACATATACCTCACACATGCTGCACATACAAATCACATTCCATACACTGAATACTGGACCCACAACTTCCCTTGGACACACAGAACATTCAAACTATGTACCACCAGCATACACACACACACACACACACACACACACACACACACAATGTACACATACTATGTACTACACACCATACAGCACATAACACACGCACCACATATTTCGCACACATTATTAATATACTTTATAAGTACAGCATAACACACTTCATAAGTAGTGTCTATAGTTAGCTTTTAGAGAGCATCTGTGAGGAGGGACTCCCGTGCTCCCCACTGTCCACACCCAGTGTGCTGTGTCATGGAGAATTGGGTCCTGAGAGCAGAGGGAAATCCATAGCACCTGCTTTATGTCATGGAAGTCCAAACTTCAGAATGCATTCTGGGGTCAGAGAGACAGCTCAGGAGTGAAGGGTGTTTGCTGCTCTTGCAGAGGACCTGAGTTTGTTTCCCAGCAACCACGTGGTGGCTTACAGCCTTCTGTGACCTTAGCTACAGGTGACTCCATGCCTCTGATGGCATACATGCATACACAGATACATAGGCAATCATACACACACACACACACACACACACACACACACACCCCACAGAGAAAAAGAGAGAGACAGGGAGAGTCAGAGAGACACACAGAGAGAGACAGAGATACGGGCATAATATAAATAACAATTTTGTTTTGTTTTTAAAAGAACAAAATCTATTCTGAGCAAACGGGATGATTTTGTTTTCTTCACACACTCAAACACACACACACAGAATGTCTGCACTGACTTATTCTAGAGCACCCACTGAGCCAGACTCTTTAAAACATGCTGTTCTGTCTGCATGACTGATGTTTTACAAGTCCACTGCCTGGTCCCTGAGAAGAGGGCAGAAGTTTGTTTAGTGAACTGCAGCCAAGAAAAAGAAGTTGATCCAGTTAATAAAATAGTTACATGGAGATGAATTGCCAGTGTCTCAATGTAGCTGTGTAACTGGAAGAAATAAATTACTAGTTAGAAAGGCATCTTACATTATGACACAGTTATTACATGTGACCTAGTGGCAATGTTTAATGCCATCAAAAGGAGACAACAAAATGTTTTTTCTATCATTATTTTTAATGAAAGACCATGAGAGGGGTGTGTGTGTGTGTGTGTTAGTACACATACCTTTATGTGCATATGTACGTATGTGTGCACACTTGTATGTGCACGTATCTGTGTGTGTGTACAGATGTGATAGAATACAGCATTCATGTGTTTGGAAATTTCTTTTACAAAGTAACAGTAACATGTCATCAATCCCAATCTGTGAGACATTAGGACAATGACAGTTAATAGTAATGTATTGTAGATGGACTGCAGACATTAAGTATCCCCACACACACACACACATACACAGGCTTCACATGTGAAGTCACATATTAATGACGAAACTGTGTAAGTCATCTCTAATATACCTCCATACCAAGATAACACAATGTAACCCTACAGCTATGTCCAATTTTAGTTTGTCGATTACTCCTCTAAGAAGATAAGTAAACGGTAATATACCACAGGTGACTTCTTGCTTTTATTTTTGGCATCTCCCTTTGCCTATGAGGACAGCTCAGTTTTAATGTGAAAATATTAAAATGTATCAACAACTTGAATGTTGGTCAAAATAACAGGAGGTGTGGCTTGTGACAGAAAACCTTGGTCTTTCAGATGTCAGGTTCACCTGTTTTCAGCACTGAGTCAAAACAATGCCTTCTGCTCAGGAGTGTGGTACACAGTCAAGCAGACAGTGTCCATATTCTCCCATCTGTGGTCCCAGTGGCTTCATACCTGACATGCCAGTCTTAGTCAGAAGAATTCATCATGTACGGTATCTCCCCCCACCCCTGCTACTTTTCTTTCCTCTTTTCTTCCCTTCCTCTCTCCCTCCTTCTCTCTCTCCTTTCCTCCCTCCTCCCTTCCTCCCTCCCATTCTTCTATCTTTACTTCCTTCCTTTCTTCTATTCTTATTGAAACAAAGTCTCATAGATCCTAGACTGGTCCTGAACTCCACAGGCAGCAGAGGATGGCCCTGCGTTTCTCATCCTGATTCTTGTCAGTGCTGGGATGGCAGGCATGCCCTGCTCTATCTGGTTTTTGTGGTGCTGGGGAATAAAACCTAGGCCTCTGTGCATGGCAGGCAAGCATTCTGCCAACTGTGCTACATCCCCAGCTCACTATAACATAAAGTGAGACTAGGGAACCCATGGCAGAGGAGTGTTCTGCACGCCTCCTTAGGTGATGAATTCTGTCCAGTCCTGGCATCCAGCTGTGTACACAGCAGTGCTAATACCGCAGGGGAGGAAGATCTGCCATCTCCCTCTCTCCCACGCTTGACCTGCTAACACGGGGCTTTTCATACCCAGTGACACTTCCATCTTCTGAAGTGAAAATGCTTCTCTCTCCTCAGTGCTCACTTCACCGTGCAGCCCAGGCTGCAGAGTCAGGGGACCGTGGTCGAGCACCTTCAGCATGGGCAGCGTGGGAACGTGGCTTGTGGTTGGTCTAGAAGATGTCTCATTTTAAATGGCAGAGACTTGGATAGATAAACGGACAGAAATAGCATGGCCTTCACTCAGGCAAATAATCTACATCCTTCCCGGGTATCTTTAAAACCCACACTTGGGGGAAGGGGCTCTATGGAGAGAGAGGTCAGGCCAACCCTCTTCTCTAGAGTCTAAGATGTTTCTAGAGTCTCCTGCCAATCTCGTGAAAGTCCTATAATACCCACAACTCTACTTCTAGACTACAAGCGTCCTCAAGTTCTGCTCTCTGACTTGAAGGTGTTGGGTGGCAGAGGAGACAGGGGAAATTGCTTTTGAATACCAGCCATGCTTATGTAAGATCAAATGTGCCCTGAGGGTTGTTTTTAAACAGTGGTTAAGCCCCACATTTACAAGCTGGGTGGCTTTGGGGCAAGTTACTTCTCCTTTCTGTTCCTGGTACTCATATTGGT